GTTCATCAATGAATCCAGATTAAGGGAGATGATATGATTTAAATATTACCTGAATAGCTTGTGTTTGCATTCTTCTTCCTCTCAAGGCAACACTTTCATCGCCTCAACCTCAAGCTTTGAACATGTTTCTGGTTGTTTTTTTTTTTGCTTGTAAAACATCCAGAACTCATGTGATTAAGGGAAGAAGAAAATGATGATCTTGTTCAGTCCAAAAACTCACGTGTGCATGCATGCTACTGTTTGTGCATTTTTTTCTCACTCTCTCGGTTCTAGTTTCCAATCTCTATTTTTCCTTTGTATTCTCCTCCAGCTTTTAATCTCTCTCTCTCTCTCTTGTTCAGCTTGCTTGTGTGCATGCTGTCAGTTCCTCTCATTCTCAGTCTCTTTCTCCTACTGGATCTTGTTCCCAGCTGATCCTTCTCTTTCACTCTCTGTCTCTCTCTGCTTCATGCTGTGTCTATTTTCCTTCTTTTTTTGTCTCTTGCTGCTCTGTTTTTTTTTGCCCAGTTTCTGTTCAAGCTTTCCTCTCTCGATCTCATGCTCTGTTTCTCATCTGTTTCCTTTCCATTTTCATGCTCCATTCAGAATGCTATTTACGCTCTGTTTTTTTCTTCATTTTTCTGTCTCCGGTGTTCCTTCTTTTCTAGACGTTCTCTTCTCTCTGTCTCTCCATCTTTGTTTCTCCCTCCTTCTTTCTCTTTTTTTTTTCAGAAAAACTCATCTCTCGGTGCCTTCTCTCAGTCTCTATCCAGGCTTCTCGTGCTCTTTTCTCCTTCTCTCTTGCCTCTATTTTCTTTTCATTTTTCTATCTCCTCTTTGACTTTTCTCGTCTCCAGTGTTTCTTCTCCGTATCCTCCTCCAGACTCTGTGTGAGAGATCCCTTTATTGTTGAAGCTCGGGCTCCTCCTTTTGCCGTGCACGTCTTCTCTATTCCTTTCTCCTTTTCTCCATTTTTGAACCCCAGTTTCTCTTACTCACGTGCGTGTCCAGCTTTTGCTTTTCTTTGCTTCTTCGTACGTGCATGTGTTTCTTTTTCTGCATGCGTCTCTGACTACTTTTCTTTGCGCGCGTGTGTGTGTGCTGTGTTTCTCCACTTTTCTCTGCATGACTGAGCATTTTTCACATCTAATCTTTCCTAAGTCTGCCTTTGGTGTTCTTCTACATTTCTTTTTTAGCTATGTGGTCGTGCGGTTGTCTTTTTTTTTGCTGTGTTGAAAGTGAGTGTATGTGAACCGCATAAGGCTTGTGATAAGCCTTTTCCTTTTTTTTTTAATTTTTTTTTAAACACACACACATAGATGTATATATATATATATATTTAATGAAAACTAAGATTTAAAGAGGGAAAAGTTTGTTCTCAAAAGTTAACTCCCAATATTTTGGATGATTGAGATAATTTAGGAGAGATTTTAAAAATTTAAACAAGATTTTTTTATTATTTTAATGAACTAAAAGAAATAAAATCCTAATAAAAAAAGATAAAATTAAGCCCTATCAATTAAATTAATTTTTTTTTGTTTTGAAAATATAATCCTAAAAGGATTAAATTTTATTTTTGCAATTTTATATATTTTTATTTTTTTGGTTACTTATTTTTGTTTGTGTTAAATTTAGAAAATGCCTGGATAAAATACGGTTTCACAATAGGTAACTACTTTATTGGAAGGTAAAATTCAGTTAAAAATATCTTATATTTTTAAATAGAGAGAGTAATTGAGATAAATAGTGTAAAGAAAGAGAAAAAATGAGGGAAAAAAATCAATTTGCAAGAAAGTAAGGGTTGCATTGCAGGTAGAAGTGTCAATTAGGGCTGACTTGACCTTGAAGGGCTGGCCCTTCAAGGGTCAGGGCTTAAATGAGCTGGCTCTTTTAAGCTTGATTATACCTCAGGGCTTTATTTTTAGCAGCCCGATCCTAGCCCTCAGGGTTGAAGGGCCAACTTTCAAGGCCTTGGCCCTAATTATTTTTTTAATTTTGTAATTTAAAAATTTAAAAAAATATATTTAAAATCTTAACAAAGTTATTACACATCATATTAAGTCCAGAAAAATAAAATAAAATCAATTCACATAACAAAAATTTTAAGTTTGACAAAAAAAATAATATCCCAAAATCAACTCCGACATCAATTATATATTAGTAGCATTATCAGCTAAATTTTAATGGTTTTTATCATCATCAACATCAATATGATTTGATCCTTCTCCTTGTGAATCCTCATCAATAGAAAATATGTTAAGCTTTTTATATCTTCCTTCTTCATCATCATTATTTGCAGTAAATAATAAACCAAAATCATAATTTCAAGGTATTTAAAGAATGCAAAAATATTCAAAGTAAGCAAATAATAATGTTTGTGTCTACTGTTTGAATTAGAGAGTGAGTGCTGAGCTTGAGTGATGTGCTGTCTATTTTTTGTTTATTTTTTAAATTTTTTAAAAAATATATTAGGGTTTAAAAGGGCCGGTCTTTTTATTTTCAGGCTCTTTTAAACCCAATTTATCTTTTTAATAATCAAAGTAGCAGTCCGATCTTTAATTTTTTCAAGTTTAAAAGTATTGATCTTATGAGCTTGGCTCTAACTGATGGCTCTAATTGAATGTGCTGAGTCTGACGTGAAGGAGCAAGGGTGCGCCATCTTTTCATCCTGCGTGTAAATTAGAAGATGGCAACTTGGACTTTCGGTGTTGAGGGACAGGCAGAGAATCTTCAATCTTGTAAGCAATATACCCACGTTGTAGCTGTAAATATGAAATTCGCAAGCCTCGTTCCTGAAAAAATAATAATAATAATAATAATAAAAGAGAGGGAAAATTATGGGAGAGAAACAAAAAGAAATGGAGCATGGGGGTTTTTTAACAAGTATCTTCCCCCAGAATTGGGATGAAGAGTGACACAGTAATCGTAAATTGTACGATGCATATGCCAATTGTGCTAATCAAGTCCAATAGTGGAGGAGAAAACCATCCTTCCGCCAAACAAAATTAGGGAGAGAATCCAAACTCGGTTTTTAGCGACAAAATTATTTACTTTTTAATTTATTTCTAAGATTAAGAAATGAATAAAAAACTCATAGGATTAAATCATTTAAAATTGAGAGATCAACTTAAATGGTGAAAATAAAATAAAATAAAATAAAATAAAAATATTTTTATCAGTTATTAATCATCGTATCACGCTCTCAAATTCCTTTCGTGTTCTTACGTGCATTTATTTTTAAATACAAAACATCAAAATTCAACAAAATACAACGCATCTAAGAGATATATGCGTGTGTGTGTGTGTGTGGCGGGCGCGCATGTTGAGGATCATCATCAATAGAAATATAAAGTCAACACACATAAACACCATTAGGAAAAAGTAAATCATATTAATGAATTACATTATCCAATAAAAGAATCAGTTGGGAGAGTTACTGGTTCGTACCATCCTTTGAACATTGAAACATCTCCGGCCCTGGACATTAGCCTGGACGCGTAGTTGACTTGGTAAGCATCCCAACGTGACCATGTTGGATTGGGTATAATCCAGAAAATATTGCCTTCCCCAGGCACTACCATTCAGAAACAGCCAAACGCTCTCCTTAGTCCATGCAATTGTTCCACATTCCGTCAAACAGATTTCAATAATAGTCGTCACTAACGCTCATCTTCAAACTCCGGCCCATATTGGTATCCCTTGTCCCTCTCTTCTGAATTCTGATTCTCTCCCCTTTTGTCTCTACTGTCCTTTGTTTATTTATTTTTTGGGTGAATGTCTCTACACTACTATATTTCCCCGTGATTGCTTGTCATTCACATTCAACTTCTTTCTCAGCTGTCTGCTGCTCCCGTCCAGCGCCGTCTCATTCCGAAGCAGCGCAAATTGAAGGGGTGTTCTTTCCTCGGGTATTAAGTTCTTCATTTTCAATTTTCTGTTGCTTGGTACTTTCATAGCATGTTATCATATTATATTGAAATGATCATGGTTATCGAGTTTTAGTCGTCATTAGCGGTCCCCTTTTCCCCCCTAATCCATTGATCAAGTTTTTGTTTTTTTGGCCTTTTGCTTTTGCTTTTGCTTTTGGTTTTTTTGTCATTATGAACTGGGGCCATTTGATGTTTGAAATTCGAAAATCTTGAAATTTCAATATCGTAGATTGTTTTTCTATTTAATCTTGGGTTTTGTTAATTAAATAAAATTCAGAAGTAAAAAGAAAAAGAGTAAATTAGGATAAAGTTAAAATAAAATTTTCTTTAAATATTAAAAACTTTAATTAAAATTTAATATTATAGTTTGTGATTGATCACTCTAAAAAAATTAATTATTTATAAAATTAAAAATTAAATAACACCTAATAGGAGAAGCCATCAAAATTTATTGAACCAAAAAAGAGGAAGAGCGATGGCTCCCGCATGAATGTCCCGTCATCGCCGTTTCTCCTTTTTTCGTCCGAGTCGTCTTGCCTCTCCCATCTCTGCCTTTTCTATTCATATATAAGTGATGTGTCCCTTCTTCAATCCAACAAAAAAAAAAAAAAATTCGTGCTGTGCGTCTGCTTCTCTTCCATAAATAAACTAAACCTAATAATTTAATAAAATAATAAAACTATTTTAAATAATTCTAATTGAAAACTACACTAAATAACTCAAAATAAATTTAAACAAAATTTTAAAGATTTAATTCTTAATTTGATCTCCAAACATGCCCATATTCTTCTTATCCAAAATAATCTTTATTGACATTTTTCAAATTAAATTTAGAAAAACTGCAGAAATAAAATAAAATTAAATAGCAATTGTGTATAAATATTAAGAATATTATTTATATATTAAAATCATAAATTTAGATAGTTAAAATTTTAAAACTAAATATTGACTCATAAAATCAAATAATATCTAATTAAACTCAATTAATCTTAAATAAATATTTAAAAATATAAATTAAAAAGTTAAAAATATGTAAAATTATTATTTATCAATCTTCCTGAGTCCCTTGGGGAACTTCAATTTCTCACAAAAATGGATTTGAGTTCCAACAAACCCACCGGAAAAGTACTACCAACTCTGGGAAGGCTCAAGAGATTAGTCTCACTTGATCTGAGTCATAACTTTATTAGTGGGCCTATTCTTGAAACCCTATCATGTTTGGAGCTTTTAGAATACTTCCTCATTGATAAGAACCCCATAAAAGCAGGGCTGCCCTTGTTCATTGGTAACCTTAAGAATCTCAAATCAATTAGCATCTCAAGATGTGGATTGACTGGCCCCTTACCCGATTGTCTCTCTTCCTTGAAGAACCTAACAGGTCTCTCCATGAGCAACAATAGTCTGATTGAACCTGTGCTGCCAAATTTAGGATCACTCCCAAACTTAGATCAGCTGAATCTGAGTGGGGTTTTGCAGTTTTCGGACGAGTTCATTGGAAGACTTGGCACGAGGCTAGACGTGAGAGGAAACAGTGGACTCTGCATAATGTATAAGCCAAAGAAGAAGAAGCCCTCTTTGCAGATGGAAATCCTTGCTTGTCTGAACAGAAGAGATAGAAGTGGCAAACCTTTGGCTGATGCTGGAATCAAGCCATCTTGATATAGCAACTTTAGCTCAAGTTCATCACGTCTGCATCTAGAAGTCATCCTATTCACTTTGGCTTTAAGCTTAGTCCTAGATTTGCTCAATTTGATACAGTAACTCCTTATTTTCGACTTGGAAACATGCATGGAAAAAAGTCATTTGCAAAATTAGGATCAAGAAAATATAAAATTTCAGTAATTTTTGTATTGTAAATCTCCTTATGAAAAATGTAGTCTCGACTCTAAGGTCATGTTGGTGAGTGAAATGGCGAGCAGCAGTTGGCTTCTCTTCAATTCTTTTCTTTCCATTTCCTTTCTTCTTTCGATACCAACCATTGAATCAAAAAATTTTAAATTATTAAGTTTTAATATTTTATAAAAATATTTTTTATATTGTATTACAATCATAAATCTTAAATTGTAATTTAGATTAAAATTTTTATATTTTTTATATTTTAAATTTATTTATTTATTTTTCATAATTTTATATTTTAATATTAATTTTATGGGATATTAAATCCTAACCTTTTAAAATTTAATCTAATACTTTCTCCATTTAAAAATATAAGGTATTTTTTGAGGAATTGAATGTTAAAAAATGTAAGGTATTTTTAGTCTTTCGAGGTGTAATCATTACCTTTTTTTCAAAAGTTATTTAATTGATAATGACTTTATATTTACTGTAGGGTGTTTAAGAGGAGTAAATATAAAAAGATAAGGTTAGTTTGAAAATAGGTAACTAATTTATTAGGAGGTAAAATTCAATTAAAAATGTCTTATATTTTTAAACGGAGAGAGTAATTGAGATAAATAGTGTAAAGAAAGAGAAAAAAATGAGAAAAAAAAACCAATTTGCAAGAAGTAAAGGTTGCATTGCAAGTAGAGGTGTCAATTAGGATTGGCTCGACCTAAAGAGCCGGCCCTTCAAGGGCTAGGGCTTAAACGAGTTGACCCTTTTAAGCCTGATTATACCTTAGAGCTCTATTATTAACAGCCCGACCCTGACCCTCAGGGCTGAAGGGTCAGCCTTCAAGGCCTTGGCTCTAATTATTTTTTTAATTTTGTAATTTAAAAATTTAAAAAAATATATTTAAAATTTTAATAAAGTTATTACACATCATATTAAGTCTAGAAAAATAAAATAAAATCAATTCACACCATAAAAATTTTAAGTCTAATAAAAAAAATAAGATCCCAAAATTAACTCCAACATCAATTACACATTAGTAGCATTGTCAGCTAAATTTTGATGATTTTCATCATCATCAACATCAGTATGATTTGATCTCCTTGTGAATCCTCATCAATGGAAAATATATTAAACTTTTTATATGTTCCATTTTCATCATCATTATTTGCAATAAATAATAAATCAAAATCATAATTTTAAGGTATTTAAAGAATGCAAAAATATTCAAAGTAAATAAATAATAATGTGTGTATCTACTGTTTGAATTAGAGAGTGAGTGTTGAGCTCGAATAATGTGATGTTTACTTTTTGTTTATTTTTTAATGTTATTTTTTTAAAAAAATATATTAGGGCTTAAAAGGGTTAGCCTTTTTATTTTTAAGTTTAAAAGGATTGACCTTTTTAAATTCAATTTACCTTATTAATGACTAAAGTAGTAGCTTAATCCTTAATCTTTTTGGATTTAAAAAGACCGGTCTTATGGATTCAGTTTTAATTGATGGCTCTAATTGAACGCACTAAGTCTGACATGAAGGAGCAAGCGTGCGCCATCTTTTCATCCTGCGTGTAAATTAGAAGATGTCAACTTGGACTTTCGGTGTTGAGGAAGAGGCAGAGAATCTTCAACCTTGTAAGCAATATGCCCACGTTGTAGCTGTAAATATGAAATTCGCAAGCCTCATTCTTTAAAAAAAAAAAACCAAATAAAAGAGAGGGAAAATTATGGGAGAGAAACAAAAAGAAATGGAGCATGCGGTTTTTTAACAAGTATCTCCCCCGAGAATTGGGATGAAGAGTGACACAGTAATCGTAAATCGTACGAAGCATATGCCAATTGTGCTAATCAACTCCAATAGTGGAGGAGAAAACCATCCTTCCGCCAAACAAAATTAGGGAGAGAATCCAAACTCGGTTTTTAGCGACAAAATTATTTACTTTTTAATTTATTTCTAAGATTAAGAAATGAATAAAAAACTTATAGGATTAAATCATTTACAGTTGAGAGATCAACTTAAATGGGGAAAATAAAATAAAATAATATATTTTTATCAGTTATTAATCATCATATCACGCTCTCAAATTCCTTTCGCGTTCTTGCGTGCATTTATTTTTAAATACAAAACATCAAAATTCAACAAAATACAACGCATCTAAAAGATATATGCGTGTGTGTGTGTGTGGCGGGCGCGCATGTTGAGGATCATCATCAATAGAAATATAAAGTCAACACACATAAACACCATTAGGAAAAAGTAAATCATATTAATGAATTACATTATCCAATAAAAGAATCAGTTGGGAGAGTTACTGGTTCGTAGTTCATGGTACCATCCATTGAACATTGAAACATCTCCGGCCCTGGACATTAGCCTGGACACGTAATTGACTTGGTAAGCATCCCAACATGACCATGCTGGATTGGGTCTAATCCAGAAAATTTTGCCTTCCCCAGACATTACCATTCAGAAACAGCCAAACGCTCTCCTTAGTCCATCCAATTGTTCCACATTCCATCAAACAGATTTCAATGATAGTCGTCACTAACGCTCATCTTCAAACTCCGGCCCATATTGGTATCCCTTGTCCCTCTCTTCTGAATTCTGATTCTCTCCCCTTTTGTCTCTACTGTCCTTTGTTTATTTATTTTTTGGGTGAATGTCTCTACACTACTATATTTCCCTGTGATTGCTTGTCATTCACATTCAACTTCTTTCTCAGCTGTCTGCTGCTCCCGTCCAGCGCCGTCTCATTCCGAAGCAGCGCAAATTGAAGGGGTGTTCTTTCCTCGGGTATTAAGTTCTTCATTTTCAATTTTCTGTTGCTTGGTACTTTCATAGCATGTTATCATATTATATTGAAATGATCATGATTATCGAGTTTTAGTCGTGATTAGCGGTCCCCTTTTCCCCCTAATCCATTGATCAAGTTTTTGTTTTTTTGGCTTTTTGCTTTTGCTTTTGTTTTTGTTTTCGGTTTTTTTCTCATTATGAACTTGGGCCATTTGATGTTTGAAATTCGAAAATCTTGAAATTTCAATATCGTAGATTGTTTTTCTATTTAATCTTGGGTTTCGCTAGACCTTGAGTGGGCGATTTCAGAATTTGTCATGTATAACAACTTTACAGATTGATCGTGTTCATGTACTTATCAGTAGCAGAAAAAGGCTAAAAAAGATTTAAGAAAGCGAGATTTGGCATGAAAAATGGGAAAGACCCTGCTTTTCTTGAGGAGGGGACTGATGAATCTTGCACCTGATATGCAATGAAAACACTCTGGCAAAAGTTCCTATTGTTCTATTTTGGCTTTGGATATGATATTGCCCATTACTGCTTTTCACAGGATTGGATTGGATAACACTAGCTGGCACGTTCGACAGTATGTTCTGAAATGATTGAATTTCACTTTCTTCTGTACTCGTTTTTGTAGTTCTTGTATATCATCTAGCTGCTCTGTGTTAGCTTTTAGCTTTCAATGCAGAGATTTATTTGACATATTTTCATGTTCTTTGACCCTGTATTTTCAGCCCTGCAAGATCCAGCGGACAGGTTAAATATCAAATATGAGGACGGACGAGATAACTAATGTGACTGAGTATGAGGCAATTGCAAAGGAGAAATTGCCAAAGATGATTTACGATTACTACGCATCAGGGGCAGAGGACCAATGGACTCTCAGAGAGAATCGATTTGCATTCTCAAGAATTCTGTAATTCACCTTTTCTCCCCCTATAAAACTCGCCCCCCCCCCCCCCCTTTAAGCTAAGTGCTGTTATCCTTTAATTACCATGGAAAGAAGTGAACGAAACTGAGTTATGACAAACTACCATGTCTAAATTATTAGATTGCTGCTTATAAGCTCCCTTTCTCCCCCAACAAAAATTCTTTTCTTTAGACCTTTAGCCGTTTCTGAAAATATATTTCATTCGCTTAAAACAGCTTTCGACCACGTATTCTTGTTGATGTGAGCAAGATAGACTTGACGACAACAGTATTGGGCTTCAAAATATCCATGCCTATTATGATTGCTCCTACAGCCATGCAGAAGATGGCTCACCCTGAAGGTATGTGCTCAAAGGAATCAGCCTGTATTACATTTATGAGAAAAATTAATTGTTGTCATTAAATGATGATAACAATAAGTACTATATATTCTTTTCTTTTCTAATACATTAGGAAGTTTTAAACCTATGGCCACACCTCGGCCCACCCTGGCTCAAGTGTCATATCTTAAGTTTTTGCACAAAAGAAAGAGAATTCCTTTCTTTTCCCTTAACCAAATGGGGCAGGCTGGATTCATTCCAAAATGGCTGCTGATGGCTTTGAGATTATCTAAGGCAGTCTAGCGTTTTCAAGCCAAATAGGAAGAGTTGAAGGGGCATTCAGACATATTTGAAGCCTTAAATGCTTTACCTTACATTATGAGACTCTTGTTATTTCAGCACAAAATACTTTAAAGCCAAACAGCTGCTTTGGAGAATTTGTTAACCGAGAAGTTTCTGAGCCTTCATTACCTTTTCAAGTATATTCTTATTACTGCTGTTAAGGAAAAAAATTAGACTAAAACAAATGATGCAACTTTCATGCAGGAGAATACGCAACAGCTAGAGCAGCATCGGCTGCTGGAACTATCATGGTTTAGTTTCCACTATCTTTAGTCTTTATTTTAGTTTATTGCTAAGCATACCATATTTCTTATAGTTTCCTTTTTTTGTCGGCTTCAATACGAATTCAATAAGGGACTAGTATGTGTGCATTCTGCCTTGATCATTCTCTTGCCAGTTGATTGATTTTCATTATTTGTTTTCAGACACTATCATCGTGGGCTACTTCCAGTGTTGAGGAGGTTGCTTCAACTGGACCTGGCATTCGGTTTTTCCAACTCTATGTGAGTACATGAGAATATCCCTCATCTTCTTTTTGCTTTAGCCTTTTCTTTCATATGTTTAATTTTTATTAATGCTTTGATATATAAATAAATATTAGGTGTGAATTCCTGCATACTGCTATGCAGTGCTGACGTAAACACTTAATGCATGAATTATGATCATCTAAAATTCTCAATCTGTTATGGCCTAATCATTTGCTGTTATGTTCATTGATAAGGTGCTTAAAGACAGAAATGTGGTTGCACAGCTTGTAAAAAGAGCTGAAAGGGCTGGTTTCAAGGCGATTGCCCTGACTGTGGATACTCCAATTCTTGGTCGCAGGGAGGCTGATATTAAGAATAGGTCAGCATACACTTGCAAAATTTTGATGAGATAAAGCTTAAACAAAGATTTGCGAAGGTTGTCATGGGTAATTTGAAAAATCTTGTTGATTGAAGACGTAAATAGTGAGATTGTTTGATGAATTTTGCTATAGATTTACGTTGCCACCGCATCTGATATTGAAGAACTTTAAGGGATTAGATCTTGGGAAGCTAGATAAGGTGAGCAACTGTTGAGAGATTTTTAAAAAATCTGATAAAAACTTTTCCAAAAATGATTTTTTAGTATTGCTATTTTTGTTGGGAATTAGTATTGCTATTTTGTTTTACTTTGTTGGGTTTACCTTGCAGACCGATGACTCTGGTTTAGCGTCTTATGCTGCTGGTCAAGTTGACCGGTCTCTCAACTGGAAGGTGATACTGATCTCCCACGCAATTGAAATTCTGTGACATGAACTGTGGATTTAATACTCTAGAAAACCTACATTGCTTGTTATAGGATGTCAAGTGGCTCCAAACAATTACGTCATTGCCAATTCTAGTAAAAGGGGTGCTAACAGCAGAAGATGGTAAGCATCTGATACAAACCAACTTGTGGTCATGTCCATTTGATGATCTTGATTGAAATTATTTTCTAAAATCTTGCAATTAACCCTCATTTTTTCATGCTAATAATGTAGCAAGGACAGCTGTGGAAGTTGGAGCTGCTGGAATCATTGTATCCAATCATGGAGCTCGCCAACTTGACTATGTCCCTGCAACAATTGTGGCTTTGGAAGAGGTAAGATTTTCTTCAGTTGCGAACATGTGCTGTATCCCAATCATATTGTGTGTTTTATAAATTACGTAGAAATAGAACTCTAATTGACCGTCAAATTCAGGTCTCCAATGTTATAATTATTGGTTGTACAACTGAATTATTCCCTATTCTTTGTTTAATCTCACTAAGTAGCTGTCATGTTAATTATTTGAAGGTTCTGTTTCAATCTATAACTCCTCTTCCCTCTTGATGTTAGCTCCCAATCACTTCATTTGAGATTTGTTCATAATAGTCATGTATGTTGTTCAGCTGTTAAATGAAGACATGGATTTTATCATGGTTTTGGATGAATTAATTATATAGGTTGTCAAGGCTGCACAAGGTAGAGTTCCTGTTTTCATAGATGGTGGAATCCGCCGCGGGACAGATGTATTTAAAGCATTGGCTCTCGGAGCATCTGGAGTATTTGTAAGCACAAGAAAGCAACTATCATAGCATTTAACCAGTTTTACCACTTTGACACAGATCAGAGGCCAATTCCTGGGATGCATGACTTAACCTTGAGACTGAAATTTGTGCAGATTGGAAGACCAGTGGTATTCTCACTGGCTGCTGATGGTGAGGCTGGGGTGAGAAAAGTACTTGAGATGCTGCGTGACGAGTTTGAACTCACCATGGCGTTAAGCGGTTGCCGTTCCCTCAAGGAGATCACTCGCAACCACATTGTCACAGAATGGGACCGTCCACGCGTTGCCCCTAGGCTATGAAGTGATGAACAGAGAAAGCCTCCTGATAGAGAGAACCCATCTAACTATCGGAGTTTCAGAAAACGTACGTCCTTCATAAGCATGAGATGAGACACTGAGCCATCTTATCTTAGACTAAGAATAATTCCTTTATTCCCTGCATCTAATAAAAAAGAAAAGTCCTTTTGCACTTGATGCTCGTTTTTGTGATTGTGAAAGCCAGGGTTCATTCACTCAGTGGATTGTTGTGGTCTCAGCAAAAGCAGAAATTCTATGATATGATAGTTTCCTATGTCATCGAGATTTTTACTTGCATTGGAAGCCTTGCACTAAATTATAGGGTAGTTTTAGCCTGCCGTGATGTTCAAGGGCAGACTTAAAGCCTTTACCCAAAAAAGACAGTCATGATTAAGTCTTAGAATAGAGAAAAACTTCAGCAGCTAAATAAAATGTTCAATGAACAAAATCAAAGAATATACATGTTGGATTGATGTGAGGGAATGTATTCTCAGCTCTTGGACGGAGGATTTGGAATATCAATACATGAAATGGAGAGTAAAATCATATACGCATCCGATCTTTGGACCCAGCTCTCAGGGAGGATCCATATCAGCTGGGCAGCAATGTTGTGGCTTCCGTCTTGCTAACAATATGACGCATGAATATCAATGAAAGTTGGGTGTAATGGAATAGACTCATTCATGATAACATAACCAAATTAAGATTTGAATTTTAACTGTGAGAGGTGTCTACATTTATTACCTAATGTCGATTTATTACCTGATGTTGATAAGATTGTCATCAATAAAAGAATATTTGTAAATAAAAAAAAAAATATGATACATAACTTTATATAAATATATGATATAAATATTTCATGTAGTATAATATTTTATACTGAAAGATTACTTGTTCTATAATATTGGCATACTTGTTCAATGATTTAAAATTGATTAATATTTAGGATAAATTGGTCTACTGGCCAAAAAAAAATCTCATGTCCAAAAAAGATGGATCAAATTTTTAAAAATTTGAGAGTATGGTCGATTCATATTGATATACAAAAAATTTATCATTAATATATAACGATATATTATTGACAAATATAATAAATTGATTATAATACAAAATATAATAAATATTGGGTTATTTAATTGGTTTAGTCCTTAATATAAGCTATATCTACAAAAGCCCCTAATATTTATTTCTTATAATCTGTTTTATTAGATTTTTAATAAAAAATAAAATATGTATATTTAATTATCATCGATCAATTTAATCATTACTGAACCAATAAATCTTGCATAAGGTTTTTTTACCAGTTTAATAATTTAATAACCTAATTTATTTTTTAACAAACCATGCCCAACATTTGAAAGTCATAACCTAATTAATAACTTAATTTTAAAGATATCATTTAAATGCTTGGATTATAACAAGTAAAAAAGGAAACGAAAAGAAAAATTAGTGGAGCAGCAAACCTTAGAGAAAAGAATAAAAACATTTTCTAACAAAAAGTAAATATAATAGATTCGAGTGTTGGCAAAACAGAAAATCATGATCAATGAAAGAAAAATAAACAAAATGATCAAGGGACTCTATGATACGCTGCTATTCTTTATAATATCATATTAACTCAAAATGAGAGGTTTCTTGGCTTCTTGCATTGATTGATTGAGAGTTTATATAGGAAGTAATTATTGAGTGGTAGATTTTAAGGGTGCCTAATTCAGGCGTAATGAGCCAGTGTTTGGTATGTCATTGTCGTGCTGACCTTGTTCACACAACCTAGCTAGTTGTTGCTTGCGTTGCGTACTGGCTTGTTAATTAAACTTAATAAGTCGATCTGATCCATTCCAATGAAAACTGTGGGTCAACTCAAGTATTGTTGCTTTCTTAGGCATGTGCCGTATACATTATCGTTAAGCCGTGCACATGTTATGATAATCATAATAGGCCTAACATACTCGGTATGTACTGTTCATATATTCAAGGGGCGACTTCTGACTTCCGTATGTATTTGCGTGACCAAGATCACTAGAACACACGAAGTCGGGACCCACAATTAAAGAGTCCCGGCAAGTTCAATCTGAAACTGGCTGATCTGTTATCTATCAAAATTGGGTTTGTATTTCTTGCCTAAGAAGGTTGAGTCATTGTCATGTGGTTTGGTTTTCTTCAACATGCATCTGTTGAGCAGATGAAGCAAAGCTAGAACTGGCCTAAAAAAAAAATTGGGTTTGTATTTCTTGCCTAAGAAGGTTGAGTCATTGTCATTTGGTTTGGTTTTCTTCAACATGCATCTGTTGAGCAGATGAAGCAAAGCTAGAACTGGCCTAAAAAAAAAAAATTGGGTTTGTATTTCTTGACTAAGAAGGTTGAGTCATTGTCATTTGGTTTGGTTTTCTTCAACATGCATCTGTTGAGCAGATGAAGCAAAGCTAGAACTGGCCTAAAAAAAAAAAAATTGGGTTTGTATTTCTTGACTAAGAAGGTTGAGTCATTGTCATTTGGTTTGGTTTTCTTCAACATGCATCTGTTGAGCAGATGAAGCAAAGCTAGAACTGGCCTAGTTAGACCGCAGGTTCTCGTCACATACATTTTTACCCCCTCAAGAGAAAATAGAATCCCCATAATGAAGGTTAACAAGTTGGAAAACAACAAATATTACCTTCATTGTCATAACAATTACGGGAAGGAGTGAGAGTCTCCATTGTCACTGCTCTGTTTTGCTCTGGTCCTAGTCTTAGCAATCTCTCTCCTCCATTCCCTCTCTCTCCTTCATCACCTTTGAACACTCTTTCTACTTCATCACATTTGAGCACTCTCTCATCTCAGCTCATGCATGTTCTTCCCCCCTCCACTCCTCCTCGGCGATGCCCTCTGTCATGGTTGTGAAGCCTACTTCTGATGCTAGGACAAGTGGGGAAGCTGGGCCTATTGTCTAGAGCCCAATAACAGCACAAGGTCCAATGTGGCAAAGTGAATGAGTTCGAAGAAGCACATGGAAAGTGAGGGAGCAAAATCTGATGTAGATTCTCCTCCCATTATTCTCTCTCCTTTCGATTATTCTTTACATTATAATCTCTGTTATCTTGGTTCTCTATACTTGATTTCTATAGTAACTGCTTATCAGTGATAATTTGATCATAATAATACCTGTGCATAATTTTCATTCCTCGTTTCGATTGTAAGTCATGTCAATTGGTGCTTTTGTTGTTTTCTTCCATGGCTAAAGGCATATGCTTGCAAGAGCAGGGTCCTGCTATTAAACGCCTTCAAGAACATCTTGATGAACGGGATGCTCTTTTTCATGATCAGGTAGCATTGACGGATTATCATCTAGAGCATGTTGAGTCGACCATGCACGCTTTTATTTTGTAGCTGGAGTCCTTTAATTTGCTCATTGTTTCAATCAGCTCTTATAGTGTCCTCCATTTAATCCATTTTCTTTATAGCTAGTGCCTCTATTGCCTCTGCAACCTCCACCACAGCCATTCCAACTTTGTCAAGTTAAGCTAGACTTCTCACAGTTTGATGGCTTTAACCCTCTCAATTGGCTTTTTCATGCCGAGCAATTTTTTAATATTACGACACCCTTAGTGAGCATCATTTGTTAGTTGCTTTTGTTCATTTTGATGGTACTATTGTTCCCTAGTTTCAAATGTTGGAGAAATCTAATCAAATTCCCACACGGGTTGATTTAGCTCGGGCGATCAAGGATCATTACAGTCTTTCTCATTTTGAGTGCCTTCGTGTGAAGTTGTTTAAGCTTACTCAAGTTAAGTCTTTTAACTCTTGTTATCATGAATTTGTTACATGGCTAATTGTGTTGATGGTTTAGATGACGCTGCCCTGTTACACTGTTTCATCAATGGTTTGAAGTCTAATCTCTAACGTGAGGTACTTGCTCGAGAGCCCCTTATGTTGTTGCAAGCAACCACCTTAGCTTATCTTTTATCCAACAAATCTTACACATCATTGCTTGCTTCACGACTAAGGGTGGGTGAACCCACAGGGTCTTTAACGTCCTCACCTTCTATTGCAAGTGGCACTGGTTTATCATTTGTTGGCTCTGTTACTGGTCTGAAGGTTTCTTAGCTCCCATTATTGCCCACTCCTTCTTCTAAACTACGATATTTTAATTCGTCGAATATCACTAGCCAAGATGTAGTTACATCGAGAGAAAGGCCTCTATTATAATTACGATGAAAAGTTCTCATAGTCTCATGGAATCATAAGTGTCCCCATAAGCAACTCTTAATGCTTATTTCAGAGTCGGATTCTTTAGATGCCTTGTTAATTGAGGAGACCACCCTCGAGTCAAAGGAGGACATTTCAGTCGTTGCTAATATAGCTACTCTCTACCACATTTCTTTACAAACATTTAATGGAGCTGAGAGTCATTCTACCATACATTTTATTGGTATTATTAATGGAACTTAGGTTTAGATCTAACTCGATAATGGTGCATCTGATTACTTCATCCATCCTCAGATTGTTCATCATTTCAAATTACCTATAAAGCCTTCTTCTGTTATGTAAATTGGCTACTGTTTCAAAATGACAAGGGATGGAATGGTTCATGACATTCCTCTCACTAAGTAAGGGTACTCTATTCTCGTTCACACCGATATCCTTGTAATCGCAGGATCAGATATGATCATCGAATCTGCATGACTTGGTACCTTGGGTGACCATATCACCAACTATCACATAGCAACTTTGAAATTTGTGTTGAATGCTTTTTATGTGATTCTCCAAGGGTATCACCTGAATTTGCCACAACCCGCTCAACTTAACCAGCTATGACAATTATCTTCTATTGAAGCTATTGTTGATAGTTTTCTGCTGAGTTACTCAGAGTGTGCCACATCACCACACCCTTTGTTTCTCCTTTCGATTTGTCTATTGACTTAGTTTCTCTGGTTCATCAATATGAGCAGGTATTCCAGGCTTCTTGTGGTCTACCTCTACCACGCAAGCATGATCATTGTATTCTTTTACTAGAAGCTATGCCCCCATAAAGTTTTGGCTATATCAATATCCTGTCATTCAAAAAGACAAAAGAAAGATGGCATTTGGCATTTTTGTATGGATTATCATGCTCTGGATGCTGTCACCATTAGGGAAGTGTTTCCTAAACTGATGGTTGACGAGTTGCTGGATAAGCTGCATGGTTCTCAATTCTATTCAAAGATTGATATTCGTTTTAGGTATCGTCAGGTGATGGTTCACCTAACCAATTGGTTTAAGACTACATTTTGGACCCACCGTGGCCATTATGAGTGGATTGTCATGCTGTTTGTTTTTAATAAACATACACGGCTACCTTTTAAGTTTTAATGAATGATGTCTTCAAGCCATTCTTATGCAAGTTCATCTTGGTTTTTTTATGATATTTTAATATACAGTGGCACTTAGGCTTTACATTTGGAACATCTGTCACAAATGTTGGACTTGCTAGTACAGCACAAGCTTTTTTTACTAAACTATCTAAATGTGTGTTTAACCAAACTAAAGTGGAGTACTTAGGCCATTTTGTGTCAGGCCAAGGCATTGAAGTTGATGCTCGAAAAGTTGTTGCTATCCTTGATTCAATTTCTCGTTTGCATGCTTTTTTTTTTTGCCTTACTGGATATTACCATAGGTTTATCCATCATTATGCACATCTGGTATAATGTCCTCCTTCTTGACATTATTAAACTCATTCACACTCATCAACTAAGGAAATTAGAAGTTCTTAAACCTCTAACTTACCATAAAACACCATTATTAAAAATATATAAATTTATTCTTTAAAAAGGTTGACATCTCAAAAATATTTTGAAAAACATGCAAAAATATGTATTTATACACAACAGAAGCGCTTAAGAATGCATAAATACCAAATATTGCAAAAACAGGGGCAAAATAATCATGTTGGCCAAATTGAGCCATTTATCATGGCATGTAATAGAGCCACAAGCTCATGTTCTGTACCATGCATTGTAGCACATACACCATACACTGTGATGTACATGATAGTTTTTGCTACCATGACAATTTGTTTGATATCAACTTCCAATATGCATCATTTCCTTGTATGATATTTAATTAGAGTTATTCAAGCATCTATACAAAGTTTATTTTATTATCTAACTAATGACATAGGTTTTCACCTCAATCTAATTTTTCTTTTAAAAATTAGATACTCAAATGTAAAATATCTATTTTATATCATTTACACTCACCCGAGCATCCTAAGTCTAAACCTTGTGTCATTAGCCAATTTTAAGGGCTTGACCACATCTAATAGGATATTTTTCACTTGATTGACTAATCAAAACATCAAACATACAATTATACACAACTTTGGCCACTCAATTTCCCCTTTTCACCATAAGACCCTTTTCACACTCATACACACATATATTCACATATTTGGCCAAAAATGCCCACTCAATATTTCAAAAAAATATAATCATACACTTGCACTACTATTAACCTTTAGAATTTCATATTATTTCATCACATTTTCCTTAGATTTTAATCTATTTTGCCTCATTTGTAGATATTTTTATTACTCAAATTAAGAAAATGTGCATTTTACTTTGGATTTACATTCTTATCTTTAATTTAATATTTTCGGCCTAATTTTGTATTATTTTAATTTAAGATTTAATTAGATGCATTTCTAGAGCTTTGTTGATATTTTTAAAAGGCTTTTGGATGAAGAAATTATGTGCAAAAAGAATAAATTTTATTAATTGCGAAAACAGTTCAAAACTACCAAAGTCGTCAAAAAGTTGCGACTTTTGCCACTGTTAGAAAAATACTACATTTTATTTATTAGAAATTGATTGGCTAGAACATAAATATGCTGAAAACTCAACTCAAAATGCATTCTTCAAACTTTGAGCAACCATTGTGTGCTAGGGTTTGGGCATTGAAAGAGTTGAGTTTAAGAGAATAGGGTTTTAAAGATATTTGGAGCTATTATTCTTCGGTTTTTTTGTTCTTCTTTCCTTTCCTCTCTTATATTCTAATATGAGTTCAAATATTTTGTGTATTTGTTTCTTTTGGATGATTATGAGTAGCTAAACGCTTTCTTTTAGGGTTATTTGGAATCCTTGTATGGATTAATACTATATTCCTTCTCTATTTTTGTAATTAATGATGTATATGTGTTTATTTTACTCTTTTCTTAATACTTCTAAGTGATTGGCCAATATTTAGATGTTGGGTTCACTTAATTGATACTTGAGAGGACTAAGTTAAGTGTAGAAATTGGGTAAAATAGTGCAAAAACTTGATATTTGCATGTTGAATAAATAGTTTTACTAGTAAGATAGAGATATACTTGCTAACCTTGCATAGCCACATTAGCGTTGGGGTTAAAAATTGAGTTTTATTAATTGTAACAAGAGATTGAGAAATTAATTTAACTAAACGCTTGTTCATGACTTAAAAGAGCTTATCCAAATATTTTTAGAACTTTAAATTAATACTTATTTTCATTAAAAGCATTTAGAAGAGGAGATGATTTTGGTATTATGAGACACAAGGGAGATAAATAATCTTAGGTCCAAATTTATACTTAAAGTCTATGAATCAATTTGTTTTCTTTATTTTCTAATGTTAATTTAGTTCTTAAAATCATGTTCACCTAATTATATTTAGTTCAACTTGATTGAACTCGCTTATTTTTTTATCATTGTTTTTAAACAAATTCTCAAGAAAATGATACTTTACTCTTATTATATTACTTGCTACGACCCGTGTACTTGCAGTGAGTAATAACTAGTATCTCAACCCTTCTGATCACAGATCATATCATTTTACACATTTTCACACCCCAAGGATAAGATACGCATACAATCACACAAGTGCATCAAACATTATATATATATATATATATATATATGCATGCCTATGGCAGCTTATAAACATAATTATATTTAAAACAATTCAAATTCGTTACACAAGTCTCAAGGGCTATCAGTAGTCCCACTACTCTTGGCTTGATTATTTCCTTTTCTTGCTTTCAATCTGTAAAATAATAATCACAAGGTAAGACAAAATCTTAGTAACTAAAATAATTCGCATCTATCTATTAACAAGAATAACTATAAATAAGTAATTAAAGAAATAAAGTTCTCTAATTTATAATTTATTTTTATATATACTATCTATTAAATCATATTCCCATGCATGATCATCCTCTCCAACCAAACCTCCATATCATCCTGACTGAACCCACAAGCTCCACTAGATCAATTATATGCTCATTGATCCGAGTGTAACCTCAATGAGGTTAAATCACAATTGACTCTAAATTATGATAATTCAGGCTTTAGCCCTTATAGGATTACCAAATTATAAAGTTTATAAAAGAAATTTCTCAAAATTCTTTCAAAAGAATCCCAATCTCGACAATTCAAATTTCAAACATGATTTAATAAATTTAAATTAGAGTTTTGAAAATAAAGTGAAAGCTTGAAAATCAATTAGGACCCAAATAATGAGTTTTAAAACTCAAAAATAGATTTTGTGCAGAAAGTGTCATATGCGCCGTAGTGTAAGGCATCGTGCACCGCGACACATTGCACATAATTTGACAGCATTATTGCTGTCATTTGATAGCATGAGAAGCAAACTTTCGACGCATCTCAAATCTCCATCTGACGTCCAATTAAGGTGGTTTTGATGTCTACATGGAGCTTTCTCCTAGCTCTAGTTAATGGCACCAATTTCACATTTAAACTCATTTTCTATAAAAAGTTGGACATCAAAACCCATTATGACCACTTTTTCACAAAATCTCACAAATAATGTGTCCCAACTCAACCACACGTGTCAATAGCTTACACCAACCATCTGATCACACTCAATGGACTCTTGCAGACTCGTGCAACACACCACACACAATAAAAAAATGCTTACCTCATAAAATCACTACTCAACCCCGATTTTTACAATACATAAAGAAGGAGGAAATGTTGCACAAAATCAATAATTTCATTTCAAATTTTTTAAAATACATATGTTTCTACTTGCACAACTATTTTAGCCCTATCCACAGGTTTGCAACCAAAATTCACTAATCCAGGGCACAAAATACACTAATTATATACAAAATCATGCAAATAGTGCATCAAGCATGTCAAATAATCCTAATTGGCAAATACATTAACAAATACACATGAAAGTAACAAAAAAGAGGCATATAAAGGATTACTCCACAAATCTTAGGCCTCTGTATGTTTTCTCCGAGTCGAATCTGATGAGCTAAGTCTTGAAAGTATTACAAATTGAGAAGTGAGTACAACCACTCAGTAGCCAAGTTTCACTTAACTCATATAGTTGCATATCAATTGTAAATAGATGCAGTTAGGTAATTAAGCACAAATAACATACAACACTCGGCCATAGTTTACAAAACTAACAACTATGTGACCAGGCTTGCTAAAAAACACTTTATCAGGTTATTTGGCAAAACATAACACAAGGTTATAAAAATTACAACCATGTACCCTCAACACATGCCAGATCACAAAACTAATAACCATGTGGCCAGATTTATAAGCATGATCATATGCCAACCTTGTATCCTCTTATTACCTCCGACACAAAATCGGTGGCTATCACATGGCTACGCCCTTCACGTACTAACCCAGCCTTTCACTTGTGAGGAGCTATAAAGTTAGGGTAAACTCACTCACTTATGTAATCAAGTTTTCCCTAATACTAACATCCATGAGGTGTCATACCCCTAATCTAGCCTCCTCATAAATCGATAGAGACTAGTTAGGTTTGAGTCCCTCATATAACAAGTGGGATAGTCCTAAATTAACCATGAGACAAGGGCTACCTCTTGATTCCAATAGTCGATGCCAAGGTTAGTTTCCGATTCCAACAGTCACTACCAATACCATGTGAATTTTCAACCAATGATCATGTTATGCACATTTCTCACATAATATGCATTTTAACTATCAATTCAAAATACATGAACTCACATAACTCAATACCCCACAATTCAACACATAATATATCACAATTCTTCACCTATAGTAATAAATCATAATCAATCTTATAAAACACCAAGGGTGGTAAAATCAAGGTTTTTTTTTCCAAACACCATTTCACAAATCAAATACTTTACCAATATATATCATTAATTTAACTCATAATTTATATTTCACAAACACAATTAACATTCAACTATAAAGATTAAGTTTTTCCCGATTACCTCAAACCTTTAAGAGGTTAAAGGTTTACCCCTCACTATACCAACTTTCCAAAGCTTCAACAAGCTCGAATGGTGCCAAAAATGAACCTCTCTACATCTATACCTCAAGAAT